AAGTTGAGTAGAGAAGGTAAATGATTCAGATTGTCAGGAAAGTGAGTTGGAAAGTTGACTATTTGAGTTGGAGATTGAGAAAGGCAAAAGTTTTGGACTTCAACGTCTGCAGAGTCACTGACACTAGAGCCAAGTCATTCTGTGTGATGAGCACATCAACAACAACGATATTGGCTGATGGATAAAGAGAGAGGGCTTGGTCAATTTGATCAGAAATAACAACAAAAAGAGTGTAGTCTTGAGATAAAAGAGAGCTATGTAGAACAAAGAGAAAGGCAATTGAGTGAAGTGGTGCTAAACAAAAGTACATAAAAAAATAGTCTGTGGATTCAAATCTAGTTTCCTGACAAATGTGTGACTTCTTACAATTGTAAATGCCCAGACCAAGTATGTGACTATTGGTGTCTTTACGAGTTAAAGGAACATAACCATCAACATTAAGATCACAAGATGAAGCACTAAGAAACTCACACAATCTCTCCTACCAACCTAACCTAAGATAACAACAAAAGAAAAACTGTACACTCAAAATAATCTGGTACAATCCTCTTTTTAGTATAAATGTTACCATAAAATTTATATAAGTGAAACCAGCTTTATTGTTTGATATAAGTGAAACAAGCTTTATACTGAGATAACCATTTAAAATTATTCAACATTCCTAAATATAAAAGCAATACAGAACTGTCAAGAGAATTTAGGAAATTTAAAGATAATAATAAAAGTTCAGTGCTTAGTTGGAAAATAATTAGACGATATGAAGTGTGATGTGATGTCTAACGTGACAACAAAATTGTGTGAGTTATGCCTTAATGAAAAATATGAAATTATTTCAAAAAATGAAAACAGTTTATCAAATAAAAAATATAAAATAAAATGTCAACATAGAAATAAATTTTCTTCTTTGCCTATTCGACACAGGGTAAAATTAGACTAAGGCATTATGTAATCAATTTTTGAAGTCAAATCCCACTGCATTGCTTTATTTGTATTTTTACTTAGTGTTTTTAATGGTTTTTAAAATTTCTTGATTTAAAAAAATATATGGCTGATGATTGCTGCCAGGCATGAAACTCTAAGTACCAACAAAAGTTGTATTTTTTTCATTTTAATATTTTAGATATATCTATGATATAAAACATTTGTTTTCATAATACAGATTACTGTTAAATGAACAAGAGAATTTTTTGTACATTATTATTCAAAAACATTTTGCAATATATATATATATATATATATATATATATATATATATATATATATATATATATATATATATATATATATATATATATATATATATATATATATATATATATATATATATATTAAGGTGTCCCAAAAACATACTTTTATTAGAATTTCAATGTGCTCTCCACTGATCCCCATTCTATAGGTCCTAAATAGTTACTAAATCTTTTATTTTTATTTTTTAATGACTAGAAGTGATAGATGTAAATTCTGAGTTTTACGGTATTTTACACATGTGTATTTACATAAAAACATCGCTATCTAGTATTTCAATATGTTTTAATCTGATGCAATAATTAGTACATAAATAATTCCCATAGGACATTATTAAAGAATAGGATCATTTGTGATCATTATTATTTGTGCATGATGGAATTCTAATTTGTGCACGAAGAAATTCTTGTGTAAGCGGTTATAAAAGCCTTTACGGTAAACTTAGATAAAATATGATACGAGAGCAAATAACGACTTCATAGATTTTTAATGCAAGTGTAAAATTTAGTATAAACTTAATTAAAAAACTGATTATTTCGAAATTCATATAAAAATGGGAAGAACAGCTAAAAAAAAAATATGATAGGACAGAATAAGAAAAAACGGAAAAATAAAAAAAGGTTGAGGTATATTTACCTATTGAAGTAACCACTGAGGGATTTACCTCAGAGACAGCTTCCATCTAATGGTGATATTCTAAGATACTATCAATTTATCCTTCGCAAGTCACAAGTAAAATACAAACCCACTTTTACTAATGTTGGTTGCAAATTGAAATCGAAATTCAAGGATCTTGTTTGTGAAAATGGTGTTTGTACAGATTCTGATAACTCTTGCTTAGTAAATAGGATTAAAAAAATTTGGGATAATGCTGGGTTTGGCAAGAAATTTGTGATTTCAGGGTACAATATAAAGACCAAAATCATTAAACTTAATCTAAAATACAAGAAGTTGATTAAATTGTCTTCTCTAAACTGGAACAGCAACCTTGATAAGCAATCAAATTTTCTGACAGAATCCTATTAGCTTTTTGACATCTCCACTAAGAATTTTAATATTATACTAGAATTTTAATTAGATATTCTTGCTGATAGATTGAGAGCAGATGATGCCAAGCTGGAAGATATAAAGTAAGTTTATTAAATAACACTTTTTTAGTAGTGAGATTTTCTTTCCTTATTAAAGTAACTTAAGTAATACTATATTATTTCCTTAAAAATATTTACGTTTCACTGCTTCCATGGTTTGGCCATCTTCCAGAAAAAACTAGAACATTTATTAATTTTTTTATAAATGTCTTAATAGAATTAACTATTTCTTAGTTTTATGAAGACCAAAAGTTGGATAGGAAAGGATATATGGAAACAAACGTTGACGAAGACTATAGTAGGAGAGTACTGGATGCAAACAGGAGAAAGAACAAGCTAGATAAGTTGAGAGAAAAAGAATTAGAGAGACAGAAAAACGTAAAAGATATCAATGATGTTTTGTTGTCACATAACTCCATGACAGAAGAGATTCAATTCAGCAGTGAAGAAGAAAAGCCAAACGAGGACTCTGAAATCAGCGAGAAAGAAGATTTCCTGCGTAACGGTCGGAAACGTAGGTATAGTATTATTTTAATAACATAGTTGTAATTTTCACAAGCTAAAACTGTTTTATTGAAAATTATATAATTATAAATAGGTAGAAAAGTATTATAAAATGATATCTAGGTACAATTCTGGAAAGAGGATAAATCTAGCAGTGAATGTTGAAAAGCTCATTGAATGTACTGCTATTTCAGCAACAAGGTTCAATGTTGGTGTACGACCTCATCTGGCAATTTTAAGTGAAGTATTTAAAGCTGGAGGTATAGAAATTAATGATATACCACTTTCACGAAGCACACTTCATAGAAAAAAGTTCAAATATGTAGAACTTGAAGGAGACTTGGAGTGGATTTCAATAACTAATAATCTTAAAGGCCGACGGCTCATTCTTCATTTAGATACCAAACTGTTGGAACAAACTACCACTGGGCTTAAAATTATTCAAAAAATCAAGCAACTTGCAGTCTCAGTGAGTTCCCCGGATGAAGATACCTTGGAAGACCATCTTTTAGGTGTTGTTCAATGTTCCTCTTCAAATGGAGTTGACCAAGCAGAACAAGTGCACAATCTTTTAGAATATTACAAATGTAAAGAGCAGATCATTGGTATATGCTGTGATACAACTGCAAGCAATACAGGTGGAGTTAATGGAGCAGTCCAAATTCTTACAGATATTTTGAAAATACCAATTTTGTGGATAATGTGTAGGAGACACATATATAAAGTACATGTATCTCACTATATGGCTGATTGGCTATGTTCTTCGCACTGTTGCAGGGGAAGCTAAGAAATTTTTGACTAATACAACTACTGATATGGTGTTTTCAAGGAACGATTATGGTATAGTTTGTAAGCTTGTCTCCTTTTTCCTTGGAGCGGAAGTACAAGATTTTAAGTTCCAACAACCTGGCGCCTGCCATGAGGCAAGGTTTTTAGCAGATGCGATCAACATCCTGACTCTTTATATGACCAAAGATATCAGTAATATCTTGACAGAAAAAGAAGTGCTGCAGTTGAAGGATGCAAGTTTGTTCATTGCAATTTGCTATGTTCCATGGTTTTTGAAAAGTTTTTTAGGATTTCTGGCTCCCTACAATAATTCAAAAGCTATCCAGACAGTCTATGCATTGAGAAAAGTCAATAAGAATATTGGAAAGGCTTTGCTTCTCAGCATGAGACGCCATACGTGGTACTTAACTCCGCAGCTCTGTAATTTTTCCTTTGGGGATAAAGAAGTTCCTACTGAAACAAAGCTAAGAATGCTGTTATCTCTGATTGAGTTTGAAAAGCCAAATAAATTTCAGCGTTGTAAACCATCAAATGTACAAATTGGAGAGACCACAGAGCTACCTGAGTTGATTTCCGTGCAACGCTACCTTCTCTTTAAAATACATTTTAAAATATCAAGAGCAAGTATAAAAGAATGGCTCAACAATAGTCTTAATACTATAGATGTTTTTAACCATCCTTAGTTGCTAGATTTTATTGCATTGATTAAAAACATATCTGTTGTAAATGATGGTGCAGAAAGAAAAATTAAGTTCATTAAAGATTTTATTTCAGTTACTAGAGATGAAGATCACCTTCAAAATGTACTTTTTGTAGTTAAGAAGTCTAGAAAAAACTTGACTAAGAGTATGACTAAAAAGAAGCTTAGGAACTGTTCAAAAAGTTGTATTTTTTGAGAAATGTTTCACCGCAATAAAATCTTAAATTTGCTAATAAATATTAGTTTTCATGTATTTTTTTTTTTTTTTGTATTTTCATATTTATAAATATAAACTATCAAGTTAAATAGTAGAAAACAGTTGTAAATGATTTATACGCATTTAATTGTTTTGTTTTAATTTTCTAAAGTGTAAAAAAATTGTGTTTTCTATAATATTAAGCCAGCTTAACATTAAAAACAGTAAAACTCAGATTTTACATCTACTACTTCCTGTCAAAATAAAACCGTCAAATTTTTTTTAGCACTTATTTTGGTCACATAGAATGGGAATCAGTAGAGAGCTTTTTTTTTTTTTTTTTTTTTTTTTGAGACACCCTAATATATATATATATATATATATATATATATATATATATATATATATATATATATATATATTAAAATGCAGTAATAAATGGCACTATTTTTTACTTTTAGTTGGAATTTTATTTTAGACAAAAAAATATTGTGATTATGTTTTTACATTTATATTTGGAATTGAAGTAATCTTAAAGGTATGTTTTAGTCTTCAAAATATTTTTATTTGTTACGTGTAAATCCACATTACTTAAATTTTAAATATGGTTACCATCTAGCATGATCAATTCTCTAAAAACAGATTCCATAAATCATTTTGTAACACCATTTTGTTTCTCTTTTTAGCATATTGGCTGTTTAATGCAAACTTTTGATTGACTGATTAATAGTAATAGAAAATCTCAGTATTTATCAAGAAAAACATCAATGCCAACCAAAGTTAATTTTCAAATTACCAAAGTTAAGTTTCCAAATACCAAATCCAATACCAAAGTTAAGTTTCAAAACAAAGTTTCTGTTATTTTATGTATTAAACAAAGTTTCAAAACTTAAATAACATTATACTACTCTACATTATTGTAGAGATAAAGTTAGATATAAAATTTATTGTGCATTATTATAAAGAAAAATCTCAAAAATCTAGGGAAGAGTAGGGCACCATGATATACTATTCGTTTTTGCTTCGTAACAGTTTTTTTAATACACTTTTTTTTGGGGGCGATTTGTATTATTTGTAGAATAAATTTACCTAATACCTAAAAAATTAAATTTTAGAATTACCAAAATATAACAGGTTAAATTTGTAAGATTATTTAAAGTAAAAGAAAACATTTTTTTTAAGGTACCCCACTAATAAAGTACTTTGATTCACACTACAAGCATTATTTAAAAAGTTGATAAAAAGTATAAAATTGAAAGAAAAGGCAGGTTTTTGTTTAAAAGGTAAACAAATTAATAATTATAACCTAAATAGTGTATCCAATGGTCCAAATCGCATTTCAGAAGAATAATTGTTTTAAATCTCATCCTTAAGCGTCAATAAATTGTTTTGTATTGAAATTGGATCTCCTAGTAATATATTTACATAAATCTCTTGAAAATTGACTGTAAGTATTAAAAGAATTGGTTTTTAGAATTTTTAATGACACAATGGAGTACTATTTTACAGTTTTAGGGTATCCCAAAAATACTTTATCAAGTTACCCCATTCTTGTTAATAGAAAATAATCACTTTTTGTTTTAGTATCAACTTGTTTTTTCATAAACTCTGTTTAATGTAAAGAGCCTTTGGACTGTAGTTTACAAAAATAATGTTACCAATAGACACATTGAATAAGATACCTTAAAAATTATCAATTTTAAAAACTAATAAATTACTTTGTCATCAAAAAGGCACATATTTCAACCCCTTGCATGCCTAATGGATCAAATAATATAATTTTTTTTTCAAAACATAGCTCTATTAGTAACTATTTTACCATATACAACTTTAAAAATGCCTCCACAGTTAAGATATTTTATAGTGCCCACCTTTCTCCTACATTAATAGCAATAAAAAAAATTGAAGTTTGCCTCATATTTAACCATAAAGATTACAAAACAGATGAAGCCATTGCTAACTTGACAACAAAATTGTTTTATAGGAAGTTGTATTATACCTAGTGCAATAAAAAGCAAATGTTAAAATTAGAAAACAAAATGATAAGACAGTTACCATAAATGAGGAGCATATGTGTTTTGTCTCCACAGTTGCACAACAGCAACTTTGGAGACAAAATACCTATGCTCCTCATTTTTACTAATTAAATCATTTAATTTTAAAGATTTTGGTTTTATCAATCTTAATAATTAGTTTAAAATGCTTTATCCCATGAAATTTATAGTTTATTTATTATTTGTAATCATAAATGCATGAAATCATTTTCTTAAGGGTTATCAAATGGGGTTATCAGCCCTTGGAATTTAGTTTGGCATTTGGCAATGCTGACCTAACTGCCAAGCTGAAGTGGGTGGTAATAGTAATAACTTTGTGTCAAAATTTTTTTTAACCTTTTGCCAACCTCTAACAGTGGCTGGCAAAAGGTTGCCAAAAAAAAATTTTGATTTAAGGTGCGCAAAAAATTGCTGACCTGATTTTTCCTAATTCCCAGGGCTGGGTAATGAAAAATCACAAATGCAAAGTGTGATAAAGTGTAAAAAAAAAAAAAAAAAAGTCCTTAAAAGTCTAAAAACTTCTAAAACAATAAGTATATGTATAACTTGCAATAAATAAGTTATGAAATCTGATGACCACAAGAAATCCATAAAAGATAAACATAAGTATGGAATAGTTGATAGATCAATATTCAAATAAATTTGTTTTTAGGTTTATTTTTAGAAGCTATTATCATATATATTTTAAAGTTTGAAGAATAATAGTCAAAAAAACTCAGAAATTTTTGTTACTGTTTTCTCAATAAAGGTTCCAATCCCTAAATAGGAATTGGAACTAGTATTAATACTACTAAAACAAAAACATTGGGAAAAAATGATTTTTATTCATAACCCATATCACTAATTTGCAAGTTTTAATTTACTCAATTTTAACTCTTTTTACTTCCATAAGGAGTACCTCTTGTTTAAGAATTTTCACTGCTTTGTGACTCAGTTGAAATGAGTTAGCACTTTTCAAAGTCAATTAGTCAAGAAATGTCACATCCAAAGCCCTGTAAGTTTTCAGAACAGTGGACTTTACCAATCAGAGTATTAACAGTACCACATTGTACATTTAGTTTGCATTATTGAAGCCACAACAAGTCTTTTGTTATAGCTTTGGGTTGATGTACAAGAATGATGCAAATTCTATAGGTTATTACTTTGTCAAATACTACCAATAAGTACTACTACAAAATGTTTAATTGTTTTTTTCTATTGAAATTGTTTTTTTCTATGAATCTTTTACAAACGTGATGTTTAAAGAAATTTTATATCCATAATAATCTTACCTTTTGCAAAATTACCAAACCTTTTTGCTCTTTGCATAATTAATTTGAGGTCAGTTGTTTCATTTTTGTTCAAGGTACTTTTGTATAATCTTATGTAATTTCATTACCAAAAGCATGTTAAAAATTTCATTTATCATAAATGTATGATATTGTTACTTCTCTCAAAGATAAGGCAGATACATTTGCAAAGAACATTTTTTTTCTTGAAGCTCTAATGACCACACTTTTCCTATCATTCCAGACAAACAGATTTTTGTTACATTCTAATTATTCTAGCTTCTGCAGCTAAATTTTATTTTCACTTAAATTTTTCTATACCTTATGGTCTTCACAACATTTTTGTCATTATCTAACAAAATTTAGTAAAGATGTGCTGAACTGAATCTTGTTTTTGTGCATGCTGGAAAATTACATCTGTAGTTTCTCTGAAAATGGGTTTAATCATTTTAACTGTTTCCTAATAAGTTTTTGTACTTTTTGATTGTTGATTAAAGTCTTTAATAAACAAAAGCCAAAATAAGCCTTTGATAAACAAGCTTTTAAAAATTTATTATGATCCCAACAATTGTATTGTCTCTTACAATCAATGCTGATCTGTATTCTCTCATTCCACTGCTGCTTTATAACAGTATTAATAGGTTTTATTTTGTATTAGATGAAATACAAAGGCAAGGTTTATCAATTCCAACATATCATGGACTTTTGATAAAGTTTGGCATGTTTTTCTTTTTTATAAGCTCATTTTATATAGTGTATCTCTGTAAGTTTTTAAGCCTTCAAATTGCAGGATTAAAGTTTTATTTGATGGACATTTGACTAGAAACTTCATTGCTCCTTCCCAGTCTTTGTTTGAAATTTTCTGACAGTACATGCAAAAGTGCTGGCCAGACAGTTATTATTTGTCTGGCGTGTGTGATTTTAAAAAATGTTTGTTTTTTATACCTTTTTAATTAGAATTTGATTAAGAAAAAAGATTTGTTGCAATTTAAAAACACGCTTGAAATTTTTGGGCAAGCGCTTCAAAAAACGCCAACCGAAGTATTGGCAGGTGTGTGGGCGACCGCAAAACTGCAAGAGCGTGAAAGCCCTTGTCAATTGGAGAAAACTGCTTTCCTAACCAATGTTGCTTATCTGGTCAGAGTCTGCAACAAACCTAGAACCACTTGGGTCTTGGTTCTGAGCTAGAACTCTAATTACTGTGCTACAGCTGAATTTAATAAATTATAAATTGAATAAGTTATAAATTTTGATAAAACAATAGCATTTAGAAAAATCTGTTCATAAATTGCAGAGAACATTATTTGTATAGTTAAACATTGCATAATAATTAATCTATATATGATACATAATGAAGAGTTAATTCGTTTGCTTTATCTGTTTTTATCATTATGTTTGTTAATTTTGAAAGAATTTAGACATGTTGATGATTGAAAGATTTAAGACAATTTATTTGTTGCATAAATTTTTTGACTATTTAGATGTTTCATGAATATTTCGATCATTTATTAATGCTGTTTAAAAATAGCAAAGCTATTGTAAATCATTATAAATATTTTTAGGTAATAGACGATGGATTTATTTTACACAAAGGAGCTTATATACGCAATCCATGGAATAAACTTGATGCTTTGATTTTTGTGTGTAATTTGTCATCAGTAATTTTGTATGTTTTTTTTTTAATTTTTATTGTCTACTTTAAAAATATTTATTGTAGTATTTGTTAGATAATAGAATAATATTGAGTATTGAAGAGATAATAAGATTATTATTTTGGAGAATACTTTTGTAGCACTATGTAGCGCTATGATAAAAATGTTGTCAGGACTACAAGCTGTAAAAGAGTGAAAATATTATGAGCTTCAGAAACCGTAATAACTTGGATCTCTCACAACAATTTTTTTTGTAATGACAGCAAGAGTGTAGTCATTAGATTCAATGGCTTTTAGACTCAAATGTATTATCTTTTGAGAAATAAGAGAATTATTAATCTGAAAGAACTATATATGACACAATATCTTTTTTCGTGCTATTTTTTTATAGGGTTCTCAAAAGAGTTGTATTTGTGAAAAAAATTGAAGAAGTAGTTATAAAATAGCAGCTGCATAAGAAGGAGAAAATCATGAGATTGAGGCTTGAAACCATGAGATTGAGGTTTGAAACCAGCAAGAATTAAAAAGATTTTAATGTTTACATAAATTCAGGTTATGTCCAGGTGCAATTTTCAATCAAAACTTGAAAGACATTGGCAAGGACCAGTACAAAAAAAATTGTGGAAAGCAATCTAAAGATCGTAGTAAGAAATAAAATTATCGAATTAATTTTTAGTGTCAATCATATCATGGTCAATCATATCATAAATCAAAGAATGAAGGTATGAGATTAGGGTTGCTTAGAAAATGAGTCACAAAGTTAACTATTTGAGAATAAAATTAATGGTATTCAAATTTGATGTTAAAACATAGGTAAATTGATAAGCCTCTAACTATTGGTCCAAGCCAATCATGTGACAAATATGTTAATTTCTTCAACAATCTGAAGATAAAATGTTTAAATTTAAACTAATCAGAGTAAGCAGTTGGACTCAGAATTATTAAACTGAGTTTTATGGCTTGTTTGGAGACCTAAAACTCAGTTGTTTTTTTGTGAGCTCGAATAATAAATATGACTTTCTTATATTAAATTTTTTACTATAATTAATTAAAGTTACTTGACTATAGACAACTAAAAAAAACATGCATATAAAAAAAAGCAAAAAAAAAAAGGTTGGAAAAGTTGAGTGTAATTTATCAAAATTTTTTAATAAATGGTAGTAAATATTTTCATTTTTTTAAAAAAAGGTTTTTCTAAAATTTAAGAAAATATCTGATTTATATAACCACATTAATAAATATATTTTTTGTTTATTAATTTATATGTTGTTCATTACACATGAATAAATATATTAGTGTTTACATTCAGCGAGTAGCAAATATTGTTAAGAGAATGCAATGCTAAGAAATTTTTTCAAAATTGTTTTGAATACAAAAAAAAAATTTTTTTTTTTTTTTTTGGGTGATAATTTATGGTTAAAAAAATAATTTAAATTTATTGTGTGAATTTTTTGATCAATAAAATATAAAAAATTTATCAACATATTTTTATATATTATTCACTATTGTTTAATAGTAATTAATAGTAATAATAATAATAATAATTTTAATTATAACAGTAATAATAATCATAACAAAAATAATGTTATTTTTGTTATTATTATAATTTATTTATTTATGATACTCTGCTGTTTAATTAATGATATTCTATTGCTATCAACAAATTTAAAATTTTATATTTTTTTTATTTCTAGCTCAATCACATTACAAAATGACAAATCAACTAGTTCAGCCTCAGCATTTCTGCGGTATTTTACATTGCTGCGACCAATCAAAGCTATCCAAAAAGTAAAGAAACTAAAAGTTGGTTATGTTTTTTACTTTTTTTATTTTTTTTATTACAGCTGATTTTCTATTTTATTGTATTGTGCATTTGTTACTTTGTTTTTGTATATTCTGTAACTTTGAACAAAACTTTTTTATATAAAGCCCAATGAGAATGGTGTTTAAGAATTCCAGAAATAATGCAACCTACTAACTATTGTATGTTTATACTCAAAAAAGAATGTTTTATAAAAAATCGTGGTAATTAAGCTCACAAAAAAATTAAAATAGTAAGCGATTGTTAGTTCTATTGACTTGTTTTTATGAAATCCAATTTGGAAGCTGTGTACTAGAATATTTTGTACTGTGTAATAGAATTTTTATCAAGCATTTTTATAATTAAGAGTAACTAAATTTTTTTATTTTTTTGCATCATATTTATAAGTAAACTTCCTCAAACACCAAAAAATCTCGAATCCTCTTCAAGAAAATCTTTATATGTACTAAAAGTTACATCTATATTTAAATAGTATTTAAAGTATAAACATAACAAATACTTCAAAATATTTTTTTTCATTTAAAAAGTATTTATTTTAGATTATTTGTTTATATGTTGTTATTTTTAATTGCAGATTGTTTTTCAATGCATGGTTTACTCATTAAAAAATGTTGCATTTGTTTTGATTATTACACTTCTGATGTTGTTTATCTTTGCTTGTATTGGAGTGCAGCTTTTTCAGGTAAATTTGTGTGTGTGTGTAACAGAGAGATAAAGTGAGAGAGTATGCGTATAGAGTGCTTGATAGGGAGGAGAGCAAGTTATTAAATAATAACAATTGGTTATACAGTAAGATAGCTCAGAGTTTCACGCCATAAACAATCATCAGATGCTACAAAACAACTTTAGCAACAAAAAATATTATGCCATGTCCACTTTGATGACATTATATTTATAATTGCACAACCTCAAAAGTTAATTTGAGAGTAAATCTACAAAATTTTTCAAATTTATGTGGGGTATATTTAAGTCCTATAATAACATGGAAAAAAAAAGACTCAACTGTCATGCAACCACAAAGTGCCACATAACAATTTCAAAGTATTAGTTATTGAACAAAATAAATGAGCTGGTCTCAAAATATAAAAAAAATACCATAAAATTCTAATGTGTGTATATATATATATATATATATATATATATATATATATATATATATATATATATATATATATATATATATATATATATATATATATATATATATATATATATATATATATAGACACACACACACACACACACACACACACACACACACACACACACACACACACAGAAAAAAAACATATAAACCTTTAAGTTCTGTGTGTGTGTATATATATATATATATATATATATATATATATATATATATATATATATATATATATATATATATATATATATATATATATATATATATATATATATATATATATATATATATATATAGAATAAAAAAATAAAGAAAGTTCAAAAAGTTCTTGATCAAGATAATCCACTGTTATTCAGAGTGGTAGCGCTTTTATCAAATATAAAATATCAGATTAAGCAATTTGTAAATCATTGGTGATAATGAGCATACCTTATACAACCAACCAACTTGCAGCTCTAACAGCCAACTGGCCAGGGTTAGGTCAAGGTAATCATTCAGCTACTTCTCAAAAGCTTGATGCTAGGATATCAAAACCAATAGCCACAGTCAGCATACTTCTCACCGTCATATCTGTTCTTGAAAATGAAATCATTACTCTAAAAGCATATCACTCTCAACAACCAAAGTTAGCACTTACAAGTTTGACCTCAAATATCAACTGGGTAAGCGCAGTCAAGCATGGTTCAGAAGCCAATAAAGCAATTATCACAGCAGTCAAGGAAAATGCCAAAATTGTAGAAACAAAGTTTAAAAGAGCTATAGTTGTTGGTCTTCCAAAATCCTCTGGCAATAATCAGAGGCTAATTTCAGTTCAAAGTATGCTCAAAAAGCTTAATTATAATGTTGCTTTTAAAGTTGTTGGGCATTTCTCAAAAAAGTTTAACACCATCAGTTTAACTATAATAGCAGCTGAACCAAATGAATTGATTATCATTGAGTTTGACTCCAATGAGCACTGCAATGATCTCTTATATAATGCAAAACAACTTGCCTCAATAGATGAATTAAAATCTGTCTATATTCGTCCAGACCGTACACCTCTCGAACAAGAAACATTCAACAACTTATACAAAAAGCGTGCTACAAACCCTTTCAAATTGTCATCCGCAGCAATAAAATCAAATGCATTGACACATCCAAAACAGTTAACATCAGTAGAAACTACAACCTCTATCCTTCAGACCGTCTGAACCAAATCGGAGAAGGTGTAGCTATATACACAAACAATAAAATCATCTCAAAACAACTACAGAAATCCCTACTACACAAAAATTTTATTTGTTACTATTCAGAACTTAAGGGTTGAACTAAAGCTTCTGAATGAAACTTTGCTTTTAGGCTGCATTTATAGACCTCTATCTTCTTGTATTCTGAGATTTCAAGTGCTATTTTCCATGCTGAAACATCAGTATCAACCAAAAAATACAATTGTATGATTATTGCTAGTGATTTCAATTTCCCAGAGATTACTTGGACTTCTAATTCAGTTTTTTCTTCTAGTAAAATCAGTCTCAGTTCTTCATTTGTCTCTCTTCTTCAAGATTGTCATCTTCACCAAATCGTCACTGTCCTTACTTTCAAACCTGCTAATCGCCCTATGACAAACACTCTTGATCTCATAACTCTCCATATCGTACTAACGAAATCAACATCGATCCTCCACTCGGTTTGTCTAATCAAAATCATTGCTCTATCACCTGGCAATACAAACTGGCTTCCACCAGAAAGTTATTGCATTTCAACAGCTCTAAATTTATTTACAACATTGGTAGCTACGAAAAAATCAACAAATAGTTCAATAAGGTTGACTGGTCATCTATTTTTAAAGACTTAAATGTAGATTAATATTACCAAATTTGACTAAACAAATACAATGAATGTTGTCTTCAATTCATCCCTTGTATGCCGAACAAACCATCCCCAAGCTAACAACCATGGATGACAAAAGAACATTCATTTCATTTCAAAATGGAAAATCACATCCCTGGTTAAGGAATATAGAGAAACTAGAAAGTTCGTTAAAAAATTAAGTCGTTCTTCTCTGAAATCTATCAAATTTACTCTTGCAAAAATGATAAGCACAACCCTAAAAGACTATTTTCATACATAAATAGTAAGCCCTCTGTAATAAATCAGATCTCGTCTATGAAAATTACCAGTTCCAGTGAAATCATTACCTCTGACAAAATTAAAATAGCTAACTCACTTAACAATCAATTTCAAGCAGTTTTTAGCAAAGAGCCATTCAATAACAATCTTCCCCATTTTCATTGTAGAACTAACACAATCCTCAACAACATAACTTTTGACACTCAGGCCACTCTAATGGAACTCTCATCACTAGATGGATCTAAATCAATATCTCTGACCTCGATTCCATGTAAAACAATGGAGAAACTAGTTGAGAAGGCAATCAAGCAGCATCAAACACTCTTCTATCAAATAGTCAACATGGCTTTTTAGAGAAAAAAGCATGCATTACAAATCTCCTTGAAACAATGGACTTCTTGACTGGAAATATGGCCAGAAAACTACCAGTTGACGTCATATTCTTGGATTTTGCCAAAGCGTTTGACAAAGTACCACATTAACGAATGCTTTACAAACTAAAAATGTACGGAATTAAAGATAATCTTCTTAATTGGATAAAAGCTTTTCTACTTAACAGGTCTCAACGAGTCATCCTTAGTGACACTTAATCGAATTGGTTACCTGTGACAAGTGGGGTTCCACAAGGATCAGTCTTGGGTCCAATTTTATTTGTCATTTTCATCAACAATCTGCCACAACAATCAATCGGATGTAATAAGCAAAGAAAACATTTGTAAGATCTTTGCTGATGACACTAAAATCCTGAGCATTGTCAACTCACTTGCTGCTCAACTTTAACTCCAATCAGATATTGACCAAATTGTTCATTAGACTAAGTCTTGGCTCATGGAGCTAAATGCAAAGAAATGCAAGGTCATGCACTTTAGCCAAAAAATTTAACTCATTTCAAGTACTCAATGGAGGATATATGCCCTTGTTAAATAACAACTCGAACTACATTGGAAGCAACCACCTCTGAGCGTGACTTGGGAATTCAAATTACTAATGACTTTAAAGTAAAAACCCAATCCATCATTGCTTCATGTAAAGCAAATAAAATGCTAGGCATCCTAAAACACACTTTCCAATCATGTGATTTTTCTTTATGGAAACAACTCTACTCCACCTACATCCGTCCTTTACTTGTGTTTGCGATTCCAGCTTGGAACCCTCATTTGGTAAAGGATGAACAAACTATTAAGCTAATACAGCGCAGAGCCACAAAAATACCAGATAAACTGAAAAAGTTAGACTACAAGTCTAGATGTTTACAACTTGGCCTGTCTACTCTAGTTGAACGTCGCAAATGAGGTGACCTCATCCAAAAAAAACAAATTTGTTAATAACATTGACATAGTCAACTGGCACTTTCCCCTTATCACAATTCCACCAAGAGCAAATCACAGAGAAAGACTTCATCTTTCACTTTTTTAACAATTGCATTGTAAATGCATGGAACATGCTACCAGATAAAGTAATCAATTCTTCAACTTTCAACAGCTTTAAAGCGAGCCTCAATAAGCTCTAATGTTACTACAGCTCGCAGCTTTCTTTAGTGAAAATTGCAATATGAGCTTCACAAAAACTAACTGTAATCTGACAATCTATGATTTGTATTTTATCAATTATATATATATACGTATATACGTATATATATATATATGCATATATATACATATATATATGCATATATATATGTATATACATATATATTTATATATATATTTATATATAAATATATATATATATGCATATATAAATATATATATGTATATATATATATATATATATATATATATATATATATATATATATATGTATATATATGTATATATATATATATATATATATATTTATATATGCATATATACATCTTTAAATTCTTGCATGAATTTAAATTTCAGGGAAAACTTTACCATTGTACTGACTCAAGTAAAAGTAATGAAGTAGATTGCAAGTAAATAATTTTATCAACATTTTTTTTAATTGTTGTTTTATTAAAAAAAAATTTAGTTTTTTATTTCTTTGTTTTTAATTTAGAGGCAATTATTATGAGTTTTCAAATTCTGAAACTGACAACATAATAAAAACTATAAAAAAGGTAGATTTTTTTTGAAGTGTTTTTTTCAGTTTATTTATCAACAATCTAATATCAATTTAAACAATTTGTTTTTATTTGGATAATTTTACTTTAAAACAATATTTCATGCAACTGTAAAGGGTGCAGGGAAAAATAAATAATAAAGCCTAATAATTTGATTATTCCAAAAACTATTGTACCAAAAACTTTCTTAACCTTTTGTCTTACATAGTGCAAGATTTCAATCAAGATCAATCATTAGATGATTAAAACTTAAGATAAATACATTGGATGATTAAGTAAAACTTAAGATAAAACAGTTAGATGATTAAGTTAAGCTTAAGATAAAATCAGAGTCGCAAAAAAAACATTTTTTTTTTTAAAAAAAAAACATGGTTTTTTTGGTTTAAACTCTTTTTTTTTTTAAATAAGTCGTGTTTAGTCAACTTTTTCAATTAAAAAAAGCCGTTTTACTTAAGTAAATTATATTTTCTATTAAAATTTCTGCTGTAATTCATCAACCAATACATCATTATTTAATGTTCTATATATAAAAATAAGCTTTGCTGCTTTTTTTACTCCAATCTTGTTTCCTAACTTGGAATAAACAAGCCCAAAAGTTGAAGTAAGTTTTTCATGTCCAGCACTAGAAGATGGTACATTTAACAAACCTTCAATATTCATGAAAATGTTGCAGTCCAAAGGTTATAGAGATTTCCACCATTCTATTGGTGATACATTTCTTAAAATAGATACACTATACAAATAGCTTTTATCAAATTTGATCCAGCTTGATGATTATTTTGTATATATTTTATTATCTGTGCAACATGCTTGCTCACATTTTCAATGTTAAGATCATTTGCTAAGAGATTTAGCATATGAGCAGCACACTCATAAGTAATTATCCAGATACCTTCTTCAGATGAAGATACTTGTCACACTGATTTTAAATTAGCTGCATTTTCAGTCACAAAACTTTTTACTGTTCACTTTTTACTTAGCATCCAAATTTATGTATTACAGATTATTATTGCTTTATTTTTTTTTCTTTATGCTTTATTGCTTTTATTATAAAGAATATTCTATTGCTTCTTTTGTCAATTGTGTAAGATATAAAATAATGGTTACAATAACTTCATAAAAGTTTTATTAAATTTTATTTATTATTGAACTTAAATATTAATGTCTTAAATGTTTAAAAAATCTATAGTAAATGTAACTTATTTAACGTACGCAACTTTTATTATATAAATATTTATATAAATATATTTATAAATATATATATATATATATTATATATATATATATATATATATATATATATATATATATATATATATATATATATATATATATATATATATATATATATATATATATTCAATATATATATATATTCAATATATATATATATATATATATATATATATATATATATATATATATATATATATATATTATATATATATATATATTCAATCATTAGGTTTACTGTAAATATCTTTTTTATATTTAAAATGCATCTTAAAGCACTGTGAAAATTATTAAACTTTAGTAAAAGTTAAACGAACTAATATTTAATAATAACTAATATTTAATAGCTAATATTTAAATCAAAATTAAAGTAATAGTAATACTAAATGCTTATGTTTTGATTCAAATAATTAGTCTACATGATATATTATATATAGACAATAATTATTTTAATATATACATAATATTTTATATTATATATATATATATACATTTTATTATATTGCATATAGATAAATATAATATATTATTATATATAGAAAATTTGCCGCAAAAGTATTTAAAGAAATGTCTTTTACAACAAGACACTATTTTAAATCAACTCATTGTCTTTGGATAAAACTAAACAAAGTCAACACAAACAATGTGATATCTAAAAATCATTGCCATGACTAAAAGTCAATGCCATTGCCATTTTAATTAAGAGGCAAGGGGGAGCTTACTGAAAGAATACACTCTCTCCCACTCCCCCTCCCCCTCCCAACTGTCGATAAAAAAGGTATCCCTAAATAAACTTTAAGTTTGCCACTGTATATTTAATATATATAAGAAATTATTTTTCAAAAGCATGTTTATGGTTTTAACATCTTTATAATTTTAAAAGTGCATTCATATTTACATGAAAAGATATAATTCTATTCTTCAATCATATTTACACGAAAGATATAGTTCTAATTGTAAACAAAACGCTGGTTTACTTTGAATATTTCCTGAATATTTAAAGTTGTTCAAGAAAAAATTAGTTTGGTTTAAATTGATATTTTTTCGATTGGTTTAAACCATGGTTTAAAACATTTGGTTTACACCTATCAACCCTGGATAAAATTATTAGATGATTAAGTAAAATTTAAGATACATACTCTAGATGATTAAGTAAAAAAAATAAAAATTAATAAAATCTATGAATCATGCTATATTTATTTTTTTGTGCAGGTAAATAAAAGGGATTGGACTAATGATAATTCAAATTTTGACAACATTTTAAGTGCAGCTATAACACTATATATATGCTCAACAGAAGATAATTGGCCAAGGTAAACCCTTATTTAAATGATATTTAAATATGTACACATATATTTATATAAATATGTACAGACATACATGTATGATACTGAAGCCCTCACAACTACCTGTTTCAGTATGACTTACTATATATATATATATATATATATATATATATATATATATATATATATATATATATATATATATATATATATATATATATAACAATTTTTTCAGTTTTAACAATATGATTATACAATATCAGATTTTGATTATACAATAATCATTTTCAAGTATAAAACTGTTAAATACAAAAATTATTTAATATATAGTAAAAACAAACAATTTTATTTGTCGGCCAAAAAAAAAACATGAAAGGTGTGAAAACCTACGTCATAGTATAATGGAAAATATAGATAATAAGTGTGATACATATGCCATAGAGTAATAGATAATGTTGATTAGAGCTAGAGTGATAGCGTGTAATTAAAAACCTGTTTATTAAGATCAGGTTTTTCCCACATAATGTGTAACACTTCTTTGATTTTTAAGTTATGCAAAGTTTGGGCGTAGTCTAATACTGAAAAAGAGTTTTTATTGGCTACATTTAAGCAACTAGTTTTTGAATAAACATGTTGATTCGATGAAAGTTTTTTGTAATTTTAAATGTTCCTCAATTCTTTTACTTAAATGTTGAGTGATTTGACTCACATAACAAGCATTACAACTTTAACATACAAATTTATATATGAAATTTGAGCAGTTAAGGAGTTTTATCTATTGTTGAAAAATGTGTATTAATTTTAGAGGATGAGAATGTCAATTTAATATTAAGTGTTTACAATGTTTTTTTCCTAAGTCATTTATTTTGCTTTAAAATTGTTTTGACATTTTACCAATATACAGCATTTTAAAGTAATTTATTTTTGAGGAATCAATAATTTCTTTATTTTCTTTTCTATATAGTTTGTATAGGTAGATTTTTAAAACGCAATCTATTAGCTTAGTCGAGTAAAGGCTTTATTGGAGAATATGTTTAAGTTTAAATCAGAATGTAAGTTAAACCATTTGTTGTTAGTTTTATAAATCCTATCTATTAAAGTTTTAATCATCCTAATTTTGTATAAAAAATCTGTAAAAATCTGTAGTTTGTTAATAGATCTGAGAAAGTCTAAACATTTTGAGTTGGTAACACTTTTTTGAAAATCCAAGAAATCCACTGACACAATTGAGTTATATTTGTTGTCAAAAATAAATAAATAAATAAGCTAATTGTTGATTTACTTCTTTTTCCTTGGTAAATTGAATATTTTTGTGTTGATGATTCATATAATTAAAAAATTCAAAAGAATCAGTCTCTTTTTCAAATAAAAAATATCATCAACGTACCTGCGATAAAAACAATAGTTACCTGTGTAGTTTAACAAACATAATTTTTCCATATAAAAATGATTATTTGAGGTGGCAAACAAGAATAATTCATCAAGTTCTTTTTTATTAATTTTGAAATTAGGATTGTTATCAATGATAAATTTTACAGATAATTATAAAATTGCTTGAAATTGTAATTTGTAAATAAATTTTCAACATCAAACAGTTTATTTAATGTGCTTACCTTATTTAAGTTTTGAATGAAGATAAAACACATTCAATAAATATATGGTGTTGTTTGATGTTGAAAATTTATTAGACTTAATACAAAATTTATGCTTACATATATATTTTATATAAAAATGTATTTATATAAATATATATATATATATATATATATATATTTATATAAGTATATATATTTATTTATAAATGCATAATAATATATATATATATATATATATATATATTTATATTATAATATTTATAAATATATATATATATATATATATACAAATATATATTTTCTCAGGTCAGGTTATCCTGCTACTGCCAATATGTAACCCAATACAATCTGCTTCATGTCCTGCTGCCTTGTAGGATACGCTTTTTTAGGCAAAGGCGAGAAGAAGCCATCACCTACTTAAAATACCCCTTGCCTAAAGGCTTTTGATTGAGTAAAGGCTAGATATAGTATCGATAAAAATACTCATCTTGGGCAAATGTTAAATGCATCCGACTACTGTCTTGTAGAAGCCCTCCTAGGCAAAGACTTGAATGGTAAGCAGATTCTATCTGTTAACCAGCCTCGCAGCCCTTCTTCATCTATTAGGCTGGCGCAGATGTATAATATATTTTTTCCAGTTTTGGATGTTGAATGCTGGATCTTCTTGACTTGATGCATGGGTTTTACTTGTGCCTCTGTTTTTATGACTAGGCAACTCATTCTACTATCTCCTAATGAGGGTACAGCTCTAAAACTCAGTTTTATGGTTCTAAGGCCGGCTGGTAGTCAGGTTTCTCAAACTCTGTGGAAGCTCTCAGAGAAGCTGATTCCATCAACAGCTGAAGAGAATTAAAGTATTAACAATGCCATGTTGTTTAAAGTATTAACAATGCCATGGATGGTGTCCTTGTTTGTACTTTTGGTGTGAATTGTCAAGGCTTTATTTGAAGCCCTTTGTTATGGCTTAGGGTTTGTTAATAGTAATAAGGCTTGGGCTGTTAAACAGTGTACTGAGTACTATTTATTCTTTGAGACAAGTTCTTTAATATATTTAAAATTGAATAAACTATCAAAAACTATAAAAACACAAAAAACCATAGTTATCACCAAGTTCTCTAAACCTATCAATCACTAATATTTGTGGTCTTCGAAGTAACTTTTCTTCTGTTGAGTCTTATCTCTTGCAAAGCTCAGCAGATCTACTTGCTCTTTGTGAGACTAATTTGAGTTCAGCTGTCTCATCTAAGTGTTGTGATCTAAGTGTTGATGGTTATCTTCTTTTGATTCCTTAAAACTCCAATAGTCACATGCGTAGTCTGGGCATTTACATTTGTAAGAATTCACCAATTTGTTGGCAAACTAGGTTTGAATTCACAAATGATTTTTTTATGTGCTTTCGTTTAGCACCACTTCAATTTGTAATATATTACCTTTCTCTTTGTTATATATCGCTCTCCTTCATCTCAAGACTGCACATTTTTTGATGTTATTTCTGATCAAATTAATTAATTAATTAATTCTGACCAAGTGCTCTCTTTATCCATCAGCCAATATTGTTGTTCAAGTGACTTTATTGCTCATCACACTGAATGGCTTGGCTCTAGTGCCAGTGACTCTGCAGGCGTTAAAGCCCACAACTTTTGCCTTTCTCAATCCCTAACTCAAATAGTCAACTTTCCATCTTGCTTTCAAGACAACTAGAATCATTTACCTTCTCTACTTGACTTATGGCTTGTTTCTGGTCCTAGTCAGTGCTCAGTTTCTACACATTCATTCTTAGGTGCCTCTGATCACAGTTTGATCTCTCTAAAACTTTTATCTCATTCTTCTTCATCATTTGAATCCCCCTATCATCGTACCTTTTACAACTACCTTAAAGCTGACTGGGACTCTTTCTGTGATTTTCTTTGTGATGACCCTTGGGTAGAAATCTTTTGTCTTGCTGCTGATAAATGTGCTTCTTATATAACATTTTGGATTCAGGCAGGCATGGAATCTGTTATTCCCTCCCAACGATTCCAGGTCAAGCCTCACTCTTCTCCGTGGTTTTCCTCACATTGTGCTGCTGCAATTTCCAATAGAAATTGTTACTTCCATACCTATTAGCAAAACAATTCTCCAGAAAACAGACGTCTGTTTACTATTGCTAGAGACTATTGTAAAAACTTTTTGTCTAACACCAAAGCCTGTTATTTGCAGGTCATAAAATCTCGTATTTCATTACAAAACTTATCGTAACTTCAAGAGAATCTTTAATACTATCAATAATAAGAGCAAATATCTTATTCCATCTCTCTTCTATGGTTCAGACTTTGTCACCTCACCTAAATACAAAGCTGAGTTGTTTGCTTAAAAACTTTTCTTTAATATCATCTCTTGATTCTACTAGTTGCATTCTACCTGATTTAGCCGTCAAACAGGTTGATCTATTGCTTGACATCCGTATCACTCCAGCTTCTGTGTTAAAAGTGATTTTCTGATTAGACTCTTCTACAGCTTGTGTCCCGGACAACATACCTGTTATAGCCTTGCAGAAATGTTCTCTGAAGCTGTTGTCTATACTTTCAAAACTATTTAACAAGTGCTTATCAGAGTCTTGTTTTTCAGCCTGCTGGAAAGCGGCATATGTTATCCCTATTTTCAAAAATTCTGAACACCGATATGGTTTGTCTAACTACCGTCCCATCAGTCTTCTTTCTATCATAAGCAAGGTTTTTGAATCTTTAATTAACAAACACTTAGTCTTTTATTTTGAATCTCTTAACTTACTTTCTGATCATCAATATGGACTTTGATCTTCTCATTCTACAGCTGATTTTCTAACAGTAATAGCCAATAGGTTTTATCATACATTAGATAAAGGTAGAGAGGTTAAGGTCATTGCTCTTAACATCTCTAAAGCTTCTAAAAAGTATGACATGCTGGTCTTCTCCATAAGCTTTCTTTTTACGGTGTATCTGGTAACATCATTAAGATTATTGTATCCTTCCTTTCTAATTTTAGTATAAAAGATGTCCTCGATGGACAGCAGTCCTCTTCATATCCTGTTACTTTATGGGTTCCTCAAGGTTTAATCCTTAGCCCTATACTCTTATTAATTTACATTAGCGATCGCCCAGATATTCTCACATCTAAGGTGGCATTGTTCGCTGATGATACTAACATTTATTCTTGTTTTGATAAGAAGCCAACACTCTCTGATTGCATGGAGGGGGCATTTGAACTTGAAAAGGATCTCACTTCTGCTCAGCTCACAGTTGCTGGTGAACTTTAATTCAGATAAAACTCAATTTTTTTCAGCCAATCGTTATCGCAATAGTTTAGATCTTCCTATATTTATGAATGGTAACACACTGAATGAGTCATCTACTCTTCATCTTCTAGGTTTAACTCTTACTTCCAATCTTTCTTGAAAATCATATGTCAAATCCA